ACGATTTTACGAAGGTTTTGGTTTTATCGATGCTCTGACAACAGCTAGGGAAGTAAACAAAATTAAAATATAAAGATCTAAGATCCGAATTCATTAAAAGTATAACATGCAATACATGACACGAAAGTTATGTCGGCCAAGCATTTTGTAATATTTCTATATATTATATGCGTAGCGTAAATGAATTACGATTACGTCTTAATTTACAAATGCGATCATGATCGATGGTTTTATGTATTAATAAATCGTAGTTTCTTGAAAATAATTGCGACAAATGTCTGTCTCCACTTGCATGATCTAAGAACTCAATGGCTGAAGCAACTTTTCCAACTGCTTGGCTCTCCTCACTTCCGATGGCTTCAGTCGAAAAAGTCTGATCGCTTTATCTCTTAGGCCAGAGAAACGCCTGCGTCGGATATGCTGCAATCTGGTCAAACTCAGTCCTGAAAATAAAGTGCATGTCACAAATCACTGTGCGCTTGATACTACACTGAGGTAAGCTCTAGCTTTTTATTTGTTTCCATATTTCCATTTTATCTGCTTCCATATACTAAAGGTCTGCTTGAATTACACCCACCTCTTAGAAGCGGTACCACACTGGCAGCTCCCTTAGGAGGTTGATACTCAACTCGAACTCCTCCTGGCTGCGAAGAAAGGTCAATCACATCTACAGGGCGAACTTGGGTACCCGGCATAAACCCATCGACGGAAGGAAAGAAGGCATTTTTATGAGCGTCACTTTTCTTCTGCCAGTCGTCCCATATTTTGTCGATGAAGCCGTGATGAAGAAAAAACTCTGGAGCGGATGCGGAATCTATCGAGCACATGGTTCCATCAATTACGCAATGGACCACGTCATGGAGATTGATTCTGAGCATGAGCTCAAAATCAGAAAAGTCATCTGCCGATTTTCGCAAGACCTCTTCCACTGCGACTGAATCAGGAGGGTTCCCATTGAACATCCGTGACAAACAGCGTCGTCCAGGTTCTGGTGGAGATCCCGCCGGAAGTGGCACGAGACTCCATTCGTCCTCTCTGAAAGGACCAGTCTGGACACAGCCCGTCGGATCGACACCATCTCCGCCAAAACCAGTGTTTGCACTGTGCCAAAGATCTTCACGATTTGCCGTGCTGAAGGGATCACTGGAAACTAGACTCCAATCCCAGTATGCTACGGTAAAGTTGCAGTCGACCCGGCGAAGGAGGTTTTCGTAGAGCAGCATAAAATATCGATGCCATGTGAGGAAGTGTGTGGACTCGTGAATTCCAGATACGAACAGTATTCTGTGATCATTGATTAGTTCGTCATAATCTGCCTTGAAACTCGGATCAGTGGAAGCTGTTCTTATGACATTGATATGACGTTCTCGCTCAGCAAATGTCATGGATGTGAATTCTTTCCTTATCCGGACGCAGCCCACCAAACGCCCGCCCACACAGCTACATCTCTGACCGCAGCTATCAAACGAATTTCTTCCCTCTTGACAAACTAAATTGAATAAAAATATTTGATATGTAATAATTCAATTATGCAATCCATCATTCACTAAGCCGCTGTCTTTACTTACTGAATCTAACGAATCCAGTGTTAACGTGGCTTCAAACAGTTTCTAGCACTTTCCATGACATAGATTTTGATGGGTCATTATAACCAGTCCATTTAGGTTGATGCCAAATTCGTGGTATCAAAAAAACTGCCCAATCATTGGTGGACATGTTGCTGTCAATTGTGTGGCACAATAGGTTACAATCGCAACAATATGACCTTCTAAAACCCCCTTAATTTTAGCTTTAAGCTGTTATAACTCAAAAACAACCTCGGTGATCCCCATTTTGTTATTATCAAATTGTGATAAGTATGATAAGATGTAACTTTTTGCAAGTTTAAAAACATGCTGTGGAGTGGGTTCAGATCCACCTTAACTTTTCGAGAATTTAAAGCTAAAATTAAGAGGTTTTTTAGCAGGCTATATTGCTGCTACGGTGACTTGTTATACAAAAAGGATGACCGCAACCTGTTAACCCGCAATGATTGGGAATTTTTATTGTACCATTATTGTAGCATAACCTGTTAAACAGTGATAGTATTCATCGTTCAAAGTGTGGCTGTTAGAAAAGTGCTGGAAACTGTTGCCAGCCTCCTTAAGTTTTGTTTTTTCTGGTTTTTACTTATTTTGTTGTTGTTGTT